TTTTTTTGACTATTTAGATAAATTTGTTGTTCAAAATAAAAATAATTTTAAGGACTACCTTTATTTCAAAGTTTTTGTATCAATATGCAAGGCCGTAAGATGGATCGACCCGTCATAATTTTTTTAAACAAAAAATATATATTTATGTTATAAAATGTTATGCAGTCGCCTATTTACTTAGGACACGTTAAATGCATTCACAAACAATGTGTTAGTATCTCGTGATCTTTCAATCACATATTCAAGTGTGCTAATATTATGCCACTCAATTGGTAGACATTATTAATTCATAACCACCTAGGACATATTAACTCGTACATATGTAATACATTTTTACGTGTTATTATATATTTATTTTTTTTAGTATATGAAAATTTGATTTTGAAGTCCATATGTATTAATAGTTTTGTTTGTCTTATTTTTTGGTATATGATACTTTAATTTAAAAGTTTATATATGTTGAAAAAGTATGACTAATTAAAGTTTGCATAACACCCACCTTTTTTGTATTTAATTTTCGTAACCATTTTTAATCTTTGGCCCATAACAAAGAAACTATTACTACTGCCCTTCTCACTTGACCAGTGACTTTTCATATTATCCTACCCTATTTTTTCCAAACCCATTCAAAAACATCAAGGGAGAAAAGGGAAATGGAAGCAAAAAAACCAAAAATATAAAAGTCAAACTTATGATGTAAATATATGAAGATATTATGTGAACTACGGAAGGGTTCACTTCACCTAAATGCAAATAAAAATAATTGTTATTGTTGACATCTAAAATCTGCGGCCTGAATTACAGCCCACTCAACAGCTACGACAAAGACGATAAATACGGAAGGGTTCACTTCACCTAAATGCAAATAAAAATAATTGTTATTGTTGACATCTAAAATCTGCGGCCTGAATTACAGCCCACTCAACAGCTACGACAAAGACGATAAAGTTTATATTGCGATAAAGAACACATCGACCATACTAAAAGTGTTGACCTTCCTGCCTATCTCACCCTGGATAGTGACTAGTGAGGTAATAAGATCAACGGAGTCATCTCCTCACGTCGGCCAAGAGCAATTTTCCCCTTCGATTGACATTTACTGAATGCCAATGTGAATAGGGTTGTAGCCCAGCAGATCGGTTTTCACCACCCAAAAGGATAAGTCATTTCCACAAGTTGAACAAGTTGTCAGCAGAAATTTTGCCTTGCATTTCGCTGGACTCTTAGAGGCCGCCACGTGTCTCATATATATATTATTTAAAGGCCTATTTTATAAACAACATGGTCTTGAAGCTTCAAGGGACATCTAGTTGAGAGCCAATTCATGACGAATGAATAGAAACTCTTTCCCCAGTTCTTCAAAGATTTCTTTCAATGTACTTGGATTTTTTTGTTTTTTATCTCAATCTTCATAGCTTTCGACATGCTCTTGTACAAAAGAGGCTCGAGAGCTGCCTAAACCCCTAAATAAAATCGTCGGTACAAGCATCCTAATTCATCGACAATCCAACTATTGTTGTTTCTACTTTTCTCCTTATTTTCTATTAAATCGTCTGAAAACACTAAATTACACTCTAAACAACACATCATCGCTTCGATGGTCTAGTTGGTGAAAACGAATGTCAACAAAATTGCGATAGAAGGAGGGCCGTTGTGCACCTAAATCCCAAGATTTACGTTGTTGTTTGGATAAACCCTCACACATCTCTCTCTCTCTCTCTCTCTCTCTCTCTTTTTTTTGTAGTTACTCTGCCAAAATGAAAGGGCGGCACAACCGTCCATATCCACCTTCTCATCTCATTTTTCTATCCAGATCCACGGGCCACTATTCGATCCTCCCCACAATCTCCTTTTCTCATGTTACTCTACCCAACAAATATCCACAAACACGCTTCTTAAAAAAATTATTTTTTGTGTTTTCTTATCCCGTGACAATGCACAATATAAAAGTCGAAACTTCTCCTCAAAATCCTTATTGATTCTGTATACAATTAAATTTTGAGCCAATTAAATAGCGAGAAGTGTCAAATTCCATGTCATAGTCAATTTAATAATTTTCTATTTTATTTAGAAAATTAATCAAATTTTAATTCCTAAATTAAATAGTTAATTAATTGATTATTTAATATATATTATTGACCAATTAAAGAATGTCACATGTATATATTTAAGGCCAATTAAAGAATGCCACGTGTCATTTTCTTGGATAGTAAAATAAATAATTATTTCTTTAAATAAATTATTAAATAAATAAATATTGAAAATTCATGGACCAATCAAATTGAAGTCTTCTTTTCCAAGACTCTCTCTCCTAATGATATTTTTAAATAACTATTAAGAGATAAATATTGGAAATTATGGACTAATCAAATTGAAGTATTATTTTCCAAGACTCTCTCTCCCAATACCTATAAATATGGGCTCTCCTTAAGGTGAAAAATCACAATTCATATTCAATATCGCAAGTCATATTCAAGTTCAAGAGCTCTAGATAATTCTCTCCACGAGATTCAAGTGTTCTTGAAGATCCAAAGGCATTCTTGAAGATCTGAAGGAAGATTCAAGCGCGTTCAAGCCCAAAATTGAAGTTCAATCCGAAAACAAGCTGTCAAGCCTCTTAATTACGTTATTAAAGTCAAGACCAGTGTAGAGATGATCAAAATCAACTTTGCGGCAAAGACCAAGGACTCGTGTTCTTCACGTTCTTGGAAAATCACGACGTTTAATTCGAGATCAAGTTGTCAAGCCCTCGAAAAAACGTTAATTAAATCCAAGTTCAAGACCGGGGGAGATCAAACTGAAGATTCGTCTCCAAAAGTCTCATATCCGCTTGAAGTTCAATCTTAAAGAAATTAATCAGAGAAATAATAGAGTTTCGTAATCCACTATTTCATTTGATCCGTTGAAAAACAATTTGTACGAAGTTCTCGTGTTTATTAATTCAATTGTACGAAATTTGCGTTACAAATTCGTCTTCAACAAGAATATAGACCGATTAGTTCACCTTCAACAAGAACTTTAAGAGGGTGGAGTATTCGTTCCTAAAATAAAAAATGGTTACTTGGTAGTTAGGCAATCTAAGGGTGGCTATGAGGAGGTTTTTCCTTTATGACTTCTTCACAGTCTCACCTTTAGATCGCCACTCCCTCGACCTGGTGACCAACATACCTGACTAGGTGTTCACGATCTTATTCTTGATCATGATAGTAAGCAGAACTGGGAGCTAAGATCGAAGGGTCTAAACAAGACAACAGTTTGGCGAGTACCACAAAAATCCAATCCGACCACTCGAACCATTCAGGATCACAACAACGACTTCTCTGAAGAGAACTTGCAAGGCCATGTTAATATCTGCTAAGTCTCTATCTCTTTAAAAACAAAAACTCGATCAATCTAAGATTCCTGAAAAAATAACAAAATCTTGAACACGTCTAAATTCTAAAACTTTGCGGTAAGACGACATAGGCCTCATCCGCCTTAAGCCTTGGCTTCAACTGGAAAAGGTCTGACCCCAGGCTGCCTACAATTAACTCATGAAGAGTATCGGTGCCCCGCTCAATGCATATAGCACTCTAACTTTCAGACAAGTTGTTGTGGCATAGGGCCTAACCCGTCAGAAGTCTCGTTTTTTTTTTTAATAAATGGTGTAAGCCCAAATATCTCCGCTCAAACTTATTCACGAAAATACGACATACTGTCTGATATGCCTAAAACATTAAAAAGAATGCATCAGTCAAAGATAAAAAAGGAGGCTACCGACCAGATCTCCCTAAAATTCTATACTTCATAGCTAAATAACATAAACCCGAAAGTTTATGCTTCAGCGGGAAAGGGTCGAACCCCGATCCACCTAAAGTTAACTCTACATAGAGTATCAACACCCTTCCCAGTCCGTATAGAGCTATAACTCCCCACGTGTCGTTACAACACAAGTTTTGACTCGTCCAAAGTCCCAACTTCCGTATCAATAAAAGGTGTAAGCCTAAAATCTCCTTGACCAAACTAAAAATCCCCAGAAATACGGTGTCTTGCCCAGTCTGCACAAAATTTTAAAGGATAACATCAACCTAATAGACCAATAAAGGGACCTAGCTCGATCTCCCTAAAATTTATAAATTTGGCGGCAGAAAGGCATAACATAAGCCTAAATTCGCCCGAAGTTTTGAGCTTGACGAAAAAGTCCTAACCTCGATCTGCCTACAGTTAACTCTAAAGAGAGTACTAGTGCCCTGCCCAGTACGTCCAGAGCTTTAACTCCCCCACGCATTTTTACAAACTAAGGCCTAAACTACTCG